TAGATTTCAAACTAATATAACTTAACACGAAAACATTTAGAGGTTGATAGATCTCGGAAGACGAATGACATAGCTTGTCAGAGTATTGTTGGCAAAATAGTTCATAAAACTGTTAATAAGTAATGTCACATACAGCTGATCCACGCTGAATAACGAAAAATAGAGTTATGCTTATCATTTTATGATGGCAGGCGACTCAGATCTAATCGAGGTATCCAGCTATTAAATTTATCAGGATATTCTTTCCATCTTATGAAATATTGATTGTTTTTACGCCTTCCTCTTTTGCGTAATATTTCATCTACAGCATTGGGGGGAATTTTTAATATGTTGTAGTACAGATTCATAAAATATTCCACTTAATTTTTTTCGAGATAGTTTTGCAGTTTATACACTGGTGGATTCCTCTCTGTTATCTTGTAAGTGTAACTTTTTTTAAGTTGATTGCTTCACTTTACGAATACATACTTGATTGCCTTCTTTGAATTGAAATTTTACTTTGTTGGGTGGTTTGTAAAGTGTTTTCCACTTAAAGTGATTAACGTCTTTTGGTCTCATGTTAATGCTGCAATGATACGATTGATTATAGGCATTGACCAGATTTCTTAGTACAATGATATATTTGCCAGTTCCACGATGAGTAAAATAGCATCACATTCTAGTTTTAAGGGTGTAATTAAATATTTCTACTATAGACACTTCTGTTTCTTTATGTGCAGTAAACCAGTGAATGTCTTGTTCCTTTAGATATCATTGAAACAGACAATTAGTAAAATCTGTTCCAGTGTCCGTTTGAAGTTTAAAAGGTTTTCAACCCTGTTTTAAAATCTGCTTGGAAGATTTCACACCTTTCTTATCCTTGAGCAGTACAACCCATGAATATTTAGAAAATAAGTTAATGTACGTGAGTAACTAATTAATCTGATTATTATATTGACTTAGGTTAGAGAAAACCACCAAATCAGCCTGCCATTGTTCATTAACCTCTGAAACGATCATTTGATTTCTCAAAAATTTATATTTTACTGGTCTGTATAGAGTGTACTAATGACTTAACCAGGCTTTGACCTATTTTAGTGTGATGGATTTACTTAGCACTTTCACAGATCTAAATAAAGGCTCTAACTCCACTGAAACTAGCAGGATGATGTTGGGTTATAATAAATAGATTGTAGGGCTTCATTAGACATTATTTTCTGTGTCATCTGCTTTTATTTAGTTTATACCTCCAGATTTGTCTCTAACTGTAGTAATAATTTGACCTTTATAACAGACGATATTAATTCTTAGACGGCTCAAAGTATTACTAAGCTTAAAAGACTGACAACAGTCCACGATGGCGGTCAGGAGACAAATGAATGAATAATAAAATACTACTCTAGATAATCGTTCTGCAAATTCTTCCCATTTGGTAGGTCTTAAAATCTTTCATTTTCGTAGCACATCGTTGATTGGGTCGATTGTGCTGTTCGTGACAGATCTTTCACTAATCACTAATTCTCCTCGATCATTACACGTTAGATCCCCGTTTGTTTAATCAAATTTCAGCTTTCTTTTTATATTGTTATAATGTTGTTGATGATCTCTAAATTTTCATGAGTCTGCGATTCCATTTGAATTTTAATGGGTTCCGTGACTTGTGAATGAAAGTTCTGAAGACGATATTGCAGCTTTATTGTCTATTGGTAACGTATTATTTTGTATGACAGAATTCATAGCATTATCTATAGAGTTTAATAATTTATGTACTGTTTTTTTTATAAATTTAGGACTGACAAAGTGAGAGTAATAGTTCTTCAGGCACGATAATCATTCGTTTTGTGTGTTCCATATTTTTGGAATAAGAACAGCTTTTCTAATAGTCCATCTTGACAAAGTGCCTAATAATGAAAGTATAAATGCCAAGTAATGGTAGAAACCCTCCTTTCCAGTAAATTTCTTTCCTGTCTGATGCTTTCTTGACAGACGGCACTCTCAATAATGACCTTTATCATCTAAGTTTCTGCTTTTGTATATTCGTCATGGAAACGTTACCCTTAAAAATATTCAAAGCACATTCACAAATGCACACTTTAAATCCATTTTCATATAGCTCCGGCAATTATTCCTTTAATCTGTTTGCGTGTTGCTTTAGGTAATGTGTGGGGCAACTCTTGATGTTTTTTTAACTTCAAGTGTCATGATGAATAAATGAAAAGAGAATTTAAGTACGACATATAAAACTATTTATTTGCACATCCATTTAAATATATCTACTTTTTACACCACAATGATAGTAATTGTTAATATGAAATGGACAGGATAAAGTCGATTTTGGAAGTTGATTAAGCTTGGAGCATCCAAACAATTCCAAATTATAACAAGGAATTTTCAGCAGACTTCTCAATATCTCAGCTTTTTCTCTCCCTTCTGTATAATTTAGCTACACTCCACAGGTAGGGATAGTTGACGTTACCAGTTTTTCCAAGAGATGTGATGAATGTATCGTGTCACCGATTCGCAGTGATGACAATCTGTATCTGAAAGATATTCACTCGAAAACGGTTGTTTAAACAAAAACATACCTCTATATCCAGTGATTAAACATTTGAATGCTAGTTGTTCAATTACATGTGGTCTGTCCTTCAGACAAAATCCCTTTAGTCCTATCACAGCCACAGCCATGATAATAAATGAATATATATTCAGTGAAATGTCAGTTTTAACTTACTTTAGTACATACACTATAACTATATTTTCAGGAAACAGACCTATCCTCAGGCACAAATGTTCAGGCATGTGCGGTTTCAAATCAATGAGTAAATAACCATATGGTCGTCTCGATGCATCTTGATAAGCTTCTTCCAAATATCTGACATGCGCTGGAAACATTTGTCTCGTTAAAACATTCAACTGAGATTTGTCAATGACATTCTTGAACAATATAATGTATTGAAAATTTAAACAAATATTACGCATTTCTCTACTCTGATAAAATATTCTGTACAACATAACACACTGATGAATTCGAATGGTGACTTTCACTTGTAAAAAGTTGAGACACTCGCTTATATTCTCCACTTTTACTCATAAGATCATCAAGGATAAAAAGATTTGGTTTATCAGACTAAATAGTCATGAAATATTTCAGGCAAACGTTCAACAAATTAAATATTAGGGATATTTTGCATTAATTTATGGTGAACATTGGGCTATCTGTTGTGTTCACTTTAGAGATTCGAACCCCGGATTTTAGCGTTGCAAGTCTGTAAACTTACCACTGTCCCACTGAAGGACATGTTTGTAAGTATACTCGTGATATATATATAATTAAATTCACATTGCTAAGAAAACGTGGGGAATGAAATAACAGATAGGAAAACCTGATAATCCGAGTATTTCAGATTTTTAACTGTCATAACCATATTTTTCCTCCATTTACAATAAGGTCAGTCTTTATCTCTTGATGTATAAGGTAATTCAAACTAATATGCCTATCCAATCATTATAATTCTTATGGTCTTTCGAAATTAAGAATTTACAAAACTTGTCACATTCCACCTTAGCAGCACTAATCTTAGTAACACAACTTGTCATCCACCTATAGAACCTTTGTAACACAATCCGCCTAGTAACACCATCCACATTTGTAAAAAAACATGAAATACAGTTAAATATATAAATAAAAACTATAAACATAAGTTGACACGAAATGAAATCTGTATGTAGTTCCACAGAACTTTAATACCACTGTATGCCTACAGAAACACTGTCCACCATTGTAAAACGTGTTTAATGCTTTACTTAAAAAGAAAAATTCATTGTGGTAATTGAGAACACAACGTTATGTACATTAGATTTAATTTTGAGACTTTATTTTACTATAAAGTTAATGTCATGTTGATCTATCTGCACTCTCATCATACCAACCTGCCCTCTGGTGCAGATTCGTGGAACTAGCAACATGCTCTCTGTTGAGTAACACTCGAACTATGATATCATGCCCAGCAACGTGTTCTTTGTTAGTAGAAAACTTCTGTCGTCAAATGTCATGGTGGCATAACAACTTCCACCTTTCAAGTAATGCCTTAACTACTCATGGTGTTGGCGTCAAAAAACCATAAATTGCAACGGAGAAATTGACAAATTGTGGCAATACAGGTTTTTTTTTTTTCTTGTCATTAACTTGCAATCTAGCAGACACATCGTTTGAAACTGCAGCTTGGGTCAAGATCCTACAGGAGAAAATTACAGAACTCGTCGATTCCATGCCAGAACGAGTTAGAGCACTGAAAAATGCTCGTGGCAAATCGACTAAGTACTGATGCACATTTCTAAACATCCTTGTCAAGTTGATAAAGTGAGATAAATGAGTATTGAAAAAAAGCATGGTGTCTATTTACTTTTGAGATGTCTCTCTACACGCCAAGTTTTTGTTTCTTTTTTTGTTGTTGTCTTTTTCTTGATGTTGACAAAAGAGAACATAAAATGATCTACGTGGATGTAGCTTGAAATCTAAGACGCTTAGCTGTTGCACTCATAACTTAATTATGTTGTTTTAGTATCAAACGCAAATGTTAATGAACTAACAGCTTTTTTAAACAATAAAGTCCTCCAAAATCTTGAGAAATTGTGTTTTTTTTTTCACTACAGTACAACTATATGTCCCATTGTATTCTTATATTCGTCACTTGTCACTAAGTTAGATTTATTTTCCTACAAAGTCCATCACAGAACAAAATAATTGATAAGACAGAGGTTTCTAGAAGAACAAAGCCGTGACTAGGCAATTTAGATCCCAGGCCAGAGTATGGCATTTGCGCTCCCTTACGACTGCCGAGCAATCCATTTTGGTTATTTTGCAGACTATCGGTGCTTGAGCCGATGATGCTGCCACTACTTAGATACGGCTTTACTAATGTACATTTTCTTTAGTGAATTTTGCACAATAAACACAGATAATTCGTATAATATTTGAAATCGGATGTGTTGATAATTAAAAATAGATATTGAATACAATGAACTGCGCAAAGAAAAATTTTTCTTTTTATTTCCTCGTTGTTTTTAACAGTACAATAACCAAGAAGTTGCAAACATACAAACTAAAATTTGGTTTAAAATTCGATTTAATTTTTGATAGCATAATTAAGTTTAAAAATAATAAAACACAATGCACGAAGTTTAGCAGAGTTCTACTTCACTAAAAAGCGTGGAGATAATAAATCCATGAATGGATAAAGGAGTGCGGTTTTGGCGAGTACAATTACTCGGAAAGCTATTGAATGTCTTCACACACATGCTCTGTTAATTTAGTACTTGAAGTCCATGGCTGAACCCAGACAACCACTCTGCAAAGTCTGTTTACCTGCAGAAGATAATACAAGTTTTATATATATCCAAACCTTTCTAAAACAAAGGGTTGTCCAAATTTTGTTGCACTGAAATATGTTAGCACCTAGACTAATAAATAAACTACATATTATCAACATGGCAATATAATTAATAGATAATCTCAGCAATTACATACTAATGAACCTCTTACACTCAAGCTCGTTCATTCTAAACTTCAATATCTTACATTAACTTTGACACGTGTGAAGTTCAATACAAAATAACACGAGTTTTATGTTAATAAAAAAATCATTAAAAAGTTTCTTATGAATTCATGTTATCTTAACTAAAATTACAATTCTATTTTTTGCAACAACTCATTGTCTCCCCCTGGTAATAAACATACTCAAGCCAGAGTTTGCTAATTTCGTTTGTTGGATTTTTCACATACCTATTCTAAAGTTAATTGTGCTTGCAAATCCTTCATTCTGAAGCGATAGACTAAAGGAAAGGGAGATAGTCAACACTACCCACCATCAGCTCTTGAAATACTCTTTACCAACGAACAGTGAGATTGGTCATCACATTATAACGCCCCCAAGACATATTCGATGATTAGTTTAGAATCTATACTAACGCAGTCCATTTCTTCTAACTCAAATGTAACCCCTGAAGTAAACATTTATCTGGCTCTTAAAACGAGAAATAAAAAGTATACCAAATATAAGGTGTTTCTCTGATTTAAATCAAGAATATGTCTGATAAGTAAAATATTGTGCTGAAACGTATGGAATTCAAAACTGGTGAAAAAACACCAACCCTAGTGATTAACATAGGGATAAAGCTCACTTTAAGATATTTATTGATATATATTTTTTAAGCTCAGTTTAAAACGTTATTGAAAAACGTTTGAAAATTTTAGCTTAAAAAGATTTCTTAATATTTAAAAAATCTTAAATTAAGATGTAATATTCATTCTATAACGCAAAATGTAGATGTTTTCTTTGTCAAAGGCTATTTCATCTTAATGTAGTTTTACATCTTTCTATCATTTAATAATAAAAATGTGTTATACAAATTCAATTCTAAAAAAAAGTATTGAGGTTTCATTTATTAGATTTACAAATATTTTTAGTAAATTTATCACATCCTGAAATGCATTTATCTGTGTTAAATAATATCCTGATGGTACATACCCCATCTATAAGAACTGAACACTTTTCCGCATCTTCAAAGGACACCTCACTTTTCTTGCAGGTTGTAGGAGCAATTTCGATATGCACTTGGTAGTTCGTACCGCTCACCACCTGAATAAGGTATATTTAATCTATAAATATTCGTAAACATATCTTAGTTTTGGCATTAACAATGTTTACCATAACTAAATATAATTAGGCCTGTTGCATTTTATTAAACCTCGTGCTTAACTGCAAAGAGTTATTTATTTTCTCTTAGCTAACTTATCACGCATTTTAGAACAGTCTTGTAAAAATCCTTATTAAACGAAGGCTATAGAAACAACATATGTAGTGAAAGTCGTATTTTAGAAGGTCAAAGAGCCTTACCCACAATTCTTATACTTAATTACGTTTGAAGTTTTAAATAAACTATTTAACAAATGAATTATTATCGTTTTCTTTGCTTAATTATCAAATACTCCAGGCAACAGTATAAAACCTCTATAAATAAACATAACCAACAAAATCCCTTCTTTGAACTTAAGAATATTTCCTTCACAAGTTTAAATACACACACATACACTATTACAAGCCTACAAACCAAAACACTAATTATAAATTATTTTAAATTAACTTGCACCCTTTTAAAACAAAAGAATTACTAACTTCAATTGACTGACTCAAATAGGAAGTTGACGGTTAAAGCTTGTTTAAGAAATGAACTAGAAAACATTTAATAAACATATAAAATTATTATGATTCCTTCTTTTTTTACTTAAAGCTCCCTATATTTTTACGTAGGTAGAGTGATGCTATCAAAAACTGATGGATTTTGGGAAGGGTATGTAACATTCCTTTCCGATGCGAAATATTCATACACTCGATTAGGGATTTACAACTTTCAAGATCGGGATATCATTTATACTTAAAAGAATTGGAAGAATAAGTTTTGGGTTTCCAAGATTTGTTTGTTTGTTTGTAATTATGCACAAAGCTACACAATGGGCTATCTGTGCTCTGCCCACCACGGATATCGAAACCCGATTTCTAGCGTTGTAAGGGTTTCCAAGACTATCCACAAAGAAACCTGCAATATGTCACACCCCAGCCGTTTTATAGGGTCTTTTAACAGGTAAGAATCCAAGAGCACCAAGTCAGCAGTACAAGTCGTCCACTAGTAAACTTTGGTCAACGGAAACTGAATTTTTTTTTTCGGTGCAGGGAGCTTCCAATTTTTCAACGAGAGAAAGAGTTGTGAACTTCATATTAAAACGATTTTTGATATGCCTATCAGCAACTCACGTGGCACCCAGCTACAGTTGATATAAAGTAGCGGTGGAACGGAATGTATCAAATTACATTTTTACAATACTAGATATTACCAATGAGCTCTGCATTTACTAAACATTCTACATTTTCATCCTTTCCAAAGTTTAACAGGTACCGGCAAGGCATGCAATTTTCCGAAATATTCACTCTAGAGTTTTTGTATCGATAAAATCTACCTAAAGATCAAAACTAAGAATGCTATCACCCAAACAACTATGGTGCTTTTGTTCAGTCAGTCCCGATCATTTGACTAACATCCCTGCACAATAAATGCCATAGAAAATTCAGCATAGATAAAATGGGAATATCAGTGAAGAAGAAAATGGCTTCTCTCATAACAGGAACTGTTTTTTCTACTTCTAGTGATGCGTTTCGTCTAGTGCACCACTTTCCATCCTCTTCTTTAGGGTCCTTTCTATCTCGTTTTTGGAATTTTACCTTGCAACAGTTGTCAGTCAAATAAAAAAATCAAAGTTCCCTGATGATGGTTTGTTTGCTTGCTTAATTTTGTGCAAAGCTACGCGGGGGCTATCTGCGCTAGCAGTCACTAATTCTGATGTGGCAGACTAGTCAACACCACCCACCGCCAAACTGTTGGGCTACTTTTCACCAACGAATAGTGAGATTGACCATCACGTTCTAACGCCCCCACGGCTAAAAGGGCGAGAATAGTCGGTGACGGATTTCGATCTCGCGACCTGCAGATTACGAGTCTTGCACCCTAACCAACGGTCTTTGCCAGACCTTGAAAAGTGGATATAGTATAGACATAAAATATGATGGTTTGTATTTAAAACAATTTAAATTTGTTTTTACTTTTGATTCTAACCTACAGTAATTAAACTATATCGGCTAAGTATAATAATTTTATCACGATGCTTTTTATTTTGTTTGTTTAGCTTAGTAAACAATGAGTTAAGAAATCGTTTAATAAACAGCCTGAGGTAAAATCTGAATTTATTATAAAAAACTAAGGGTGTGTAAAGTTGCGCTAAATACAACTTTTTACATTTTATACAAGTACTGTATGCTTTTGCTCTCTTCCTTAGCAGTATATTTTGTATTGAATATTATTTACAGACACCTTTCTGTATACGCTTAAGCCAAGACAGATAGTCAGTTTCACTTTAACTGTTACAGCTTCATACAGTATATAACAGTTAAACTTACCTGTGTTTGAGCCTTATGAATCTTCACTAATTTGTGGTGATGAAGAGCATCAGATTGTGAATTCAATTCCTTTGTTGCGAATTTTGCTGCATTCATAACATCGTTATCTTCAACACTTGCATCTTCCCAACCTCCAACTTGACCAACAGAAACGCCAACCAAAGCAAGAATGATTGTACAGCAGAACAAAGTGTATCTCTTCATGACGCTGATTTTCCAAAACTGTGTTGTTCTGAACTAGTTACGATTAAATAAACTGATGATCACGTGATCCCACATTCACATTATACGTCACCCCTTCTTTGTCAAATATTTCATTGGTCACTTTCACCATTTTTATGTTTTTCGTGACAACCGGTTTGGCAAGACAATGAACGTCCTTGAGAAATTGCGCCATAACAATAGAAAACATACAGTACGTGTTCTGAGTCAGACCAGAGTTGCATACAATAAATAAAATAACCCTAAATGGGGAATTAAACTTTCGCAAATACTTTTCATTTGTTAGTATTATAGTTAAGCACAAAGCTACACAAAGGGCTATCTGTGCTCTGCTCAACACGGGTGTCGAAACCGTGTTTCTAGCGTTGTAAGTCCGCAGAAACACCGCCGCGCCACTGATAGGGAGCAATACTTTTGATAAATTTAATATTTGGTTATAGTGTGGCTGCAAACATTTATCATAATTATAGCAGTATTCTCAATACTGATTAGTTTGTCATCAAACAGATCACTTTAGACAAAAAATACTTCTATATTTCATTTAAAGCGTGTGTGGTTTTTCTTTATTTTTTCAGCGGTTTGTTGACAATATGATCTCATCAGACATACTTTGACTCCAGGTGTGGTGTTTACTACGAAGACAAGAAAAAATATCTTTAAAAGATTCTGGCATTTGTTTCTCTGGAAAGTCAAATGAAAATGTGTTTTTCATTGGAAATATTTCACTTTCCGTTGATTGAAGAGCGGTATATATGTACATTTTGTTGCTTCTGTGTTGATTCATTGACTGGAAAAAAAAACTGGAATTAATTTCAACTTGTAGAATTTATTACTTTGTATGTAAAATTGTTCATATCAAACACCTACTAGAAATATTACTTGATTTATATAATTATATTTAATTTCATTAACTTTAATCTCCCACAAAGTTACAAAAAAAGAATGTCTCAGATAGCTATGTTGAATGTTTAATTTTTTCTGAGGTTAGTTTGTTTGTTCTAAACTTCTCTATGGGTTATCGCAAGGACCAATTTGTTTGTTTGTTTTGGAATTTCGCGCAAAGCTACACGAGGGCTATCTGCGCTAGCCGACCCTAATTTAGCAGTATAAGACTAGAGGGAAGATAGCTAGACATCACCATCCACCACCAACTCTTGGGCTACTCTTTTATCA